GCGAAACGGGAGAGGGAGTACACGGTGTTCTGAAACAGGCTAGGCGGTATGTGACAAAAGCCACCATTAATACACAACGACTGCAGAGTGGAAAGAATGTTAACCCCTCAGAAAGGAAGGGAAAAGAGGTAGAGGGAGAACAAGGGGGAAACAGAGTGTGAGAAATGGATGTGATAGCGTAGACCGGTCCCCCTTCGGCTCAGATTAAAGGTGGCCGGAGCGGAGAACCAAGGCTTTAATCTGGAATGGGGTTTTGTTTCTGATTACTCAGTAGATTGTTCTTTTTTCTTGAGGTGGATTTCCTTCATCCAGCTCACTGCTAGCGGCCAAATTTATGAGCATGTCCCTTTCAATCCAAGAAAACAACTCATTAAGACGTCAAGCATACAGTATGTAAAATATCCACGTGAGATGTGCAAAGACTTCTGAAATCCTTCAGAACCTTTTTGGAGTTCAGAATTAAGAGACAATCCAACACCCACCGTTATTCCTGAATGTAGGCTGAATACTAGTTTATTATCAGTAGCTGAACAGACCTGGAAGAGCGTATGTTATCTAGTTTTGGGGGAGAAATGATCAGCGACTACTGGTGACCAGCCTGGAGAAACAGAAATGCAAGAAAATGTGAAAAAGTTTAGTTGAAGCCCAAATGAATTGTTACAATGGACACTTTTTGTAATTGCAAACAAACTTTGACAGTCTTGCAAATTGTCTTATTGCAATTTGGTCACAATGTGTCTGAATTTCCTCACAGTTTAATCCTGGTTAATTAATAAGACTATCCAACGTCCTCCCAAATTTGTCTCAATGCCCATATCCACCAAAATAACTTTTTTCTCTAAACTACGGTGGTTTTCTCTATCCCGGTCAGTTTTAACTGCACGAACCAAAGATAAATATTACCAACTCCTAGTTTATGCCACTGAGGTCTGAGTTAAATGGTAAATTAATAAATTAATTTGCTGTTGTTTCCAGACAGCAGGTAGTTGTTCATTTTGTGTCCATTTCTAACAGATGCTCTAGAGATGTTGGTAATTCTCAATCACCCACAAAGTTCTAGGTTGTCAAATGTACTACCTACCCTGGTAATCCAAAGGGGTTCAAATGAAGGCAACTGGACTTCTTTAGTTTCGTGTCCAGTCTAGCTGCCATCATTCCAACCTCTTTAAATTACCATAACCTAGATGACTGCAAACCTTCACTAGTACATTTCCCTGGTAATCGGTTTTAGACATGATTCCTGTAATGGAAACCAACAGAAAAGCCCTGGAAAAACACTCTAGGTCCTGAAAAAGGTTGCTTAAGAGGAAAGTACCGTTAGCCTCTTTCAGAAAGGAATGCCGCCAATTAGCCGCAACGCCGTGGTGGCATCAGGGAGCCTTGTTTTTTTTTATAAGTGATCAGACTGTGGTGGTAATGTTGCACAACCGTGTCCGTTTTACAAATGATTACACGAGTGCCGTATGAAGGGGGTGTGGGGGTGGTCTCTGCGCTGCCGTAGACTTCCATTTATCTTGGACAAAACTTGGTTTTTATTATGATTGAAGCCGCAAATTGTCACTTTTTTTGACAAGCCGCTCCGAAAGGTGTCTGTCCATCACAGTCCCAGCGCAGTCACTAGTGATCTGACCTCCAACTCTAACAAAGAGAAGCTCCTGGAGCTCCGCATCACTCTAATTTATCATCTCTGCTGATTTGGTTTCCAACAACAAAACTTATTGCCAGTTTTTACTTTCATTTTCAATATAGTTGCCAGCCGGAGCTTGGCAGTAACTCCCCACCTAGATCATGACATCTCTCTCCGCTGCACCAAGGCGTAAAATGCATTCTCAAGTCCAGCTTTGCAGCAATAGTACTACCAAGCATGGCGGCATGAACGCTGCAAAATTCCTGCAATACCATGCCGCCACAGCACCTTCAAAAGACACACAATGGCGACAGTATTACGCTGACTTGCCGGCATGGTGTGTCTTCTAAAAAAGAGCTTCTGTGGGCAAATTTTCTAACAGACAGTCTTTGGGAATGATGGGATATAAACTGAAAAGTGCTCAGTGCTTCTTCATAAGGTTCCAGGTAGTTTAAAAAGTACCACCTTGTGAGGGAGGGCTATTTCTACCCCTGGTAACTGCAGGAGAGTGACCCTGGAACATATGGTGTGTTTCTACTGTTGGAACTTCAGGGTAATCTGGGAGGGGGGAGTTGGATCGAAGATACAATGGCCCTCTCAGTCATTGTTTCTCCGTACAAATTCAGCCGTTTCAAGACTTTGCTAAATTGTCAGAATACTGCGACTGCTTCGAGAGTGAGTGAAGTCACTGATTAACGCCAAAAAGTGTCCACAGTAACATTAAAAGTTTTAGTATGTCAAAGTATGCCAATTTAATCTATTCAGCGGACCAGCAGAGCTTCTATGTGAAGTAAAACGTGGCGTTTAATGATCAGAAGTTGCGTCGTTTTTTATGCCGCACTGTGAGACAACGAACTGCATCACTGAGGGGAGTTTTTTTTCTCTCAATCTTTGGTGTTTGGAATTTATCAACAGCGATTTCAAAGCTGTGTGAATGGTACTTATTTGATTGTGCTTCCATACTGCTCACTAATGCTGGTTGTTTGATGGCGTCCGCTGATGTCATTTCCTACTTAGTTATAACCAATCAGAGTGAGTTGGCCAAAGGTTCTGCTCATTGGGAGTTTTTCCTGACCCATGTTCAGGTACTCCAAACATTCCTGAAAGCAGCCCACTAGGCCAGCCAGTAAAATGGAGACTCAAGTATGCCAGGAAGTTTTGGTAAAATGACCCTGAAGTTCCCACAGTGAAAACACTTCTTATGTTGGGTCCTGGGAAATATTCCTGAAGCAGGAATATTTCTTTGAGCGGTAGGGTAGAAATCAACACTTTTAACTGGTTTAGTTTCCCAGCTCCGACCTTGGTGGAGACGCAAATATAAATTACAGTAAAATTTAACGTCCCTCTGGGATTATCAAGTATTTTTTGAATTTAACAAAACAAGGCTGAAAGTAATGTAGATGATCCAAAGTAAAAATGTGTCAGGGTCAAAGGTCAAAGACTGAAAACACACCCTGACTCACTGAGTTGGAGATGTGTTCCCATCCTTTATTAAATGTTCTGTATGTTTATGATATTTTAAGATTACAAGCCAGACAGAAAAAGTCTCAAAAGTCAGCTTCCTGCATGGCCGCCTTGTTAAACGAGCGCTTGTGTCACCCTGCCCTCATTTAGTTTCTGTGTTTCAGATCCTATCAACGCTCCGCTGAAACACAAGACGGCGAATCATTAACCACATTTCAGAGCTTCAGCTACCAGCTCCTCCTGAAATCTCCCAGTGAGTGAGAGCCAAAAGCGCAGAGATCTTTCCCCGCTCGAGTCTGACAGTCAAGTTGTTTAGCGTGGCATTGCGGCAACTGGTGCCCCCACCCCTCCATATCTAAAGCTATCTACTCCCCCTCCCCAGCTCAACTCGACTTATCACCATCCGCGTTGTAGATGCGATGGGAAAACCATAAAAAAGGGCAGCATGTTTAACAAAAGATGGCAGTGTGAGTCCAAAACCCGAGAGGGTGTGTGGAAGGGTAATCCTCACAGCGAGGCTCGATGTCACACCTGTACCCCCCCTCTCACCGGCCCAGATCTTCTCCATTACAGCTAAACAAGTCCTCACCCTTCCTCTCCTCCCCCTTCCTCTCCACAGGAAGGCTCTGTAGTGGTGATTACCTCGTCCACATTCGTCTGTGCCAGTACTGGAGGAGAGAAGAGGACTGGAGGGGAGACGCAGTGGGGAAGAGGAGGGAGGTTGGATGGATGGGGGCAGGGCATGGCTTTCATCACATATGGGAGCAAGGGAAGAAGAAGGAGGGGAAAAAGCAGCAGCAGCAGCTAAGAAACCGAGAACGAGTGAACAGAAACGTTAAGAAATGAGCGCTGTTGAGGAGGAGAAGGAGGCTGATGCTTCACATCTCCCGCCACATCTCTCGCTCCATCTTCCTCTTCATCACTCTGTTCATCCCTCCCGGGCTGAATTTATAACAAGTGTTCCTATAGTGCAGGATGACAGGGTGTGGCGGCGACTGATATTTCATATGGCTGGCATCAGTTTCACGCAATGCAATTAAAGATTATGGATTACAACAATAACAATCGGGGCTCATTGTTAATTCAGCAGGATCATTCATCACACTGTTGGCATGCAAACAGCCTGCATCGATTAAAAACAACTTTAAATTGGTTTATTGTGCAAAACGTTTATCTGAGAGAATGTTTTCATTCATAAATACGAGGTGAATCAGGTCGTTGTGCTTATCTGTGGATTCCGCCTCATTTTAAAGCATGTATTGTCCAACCCGCAGAGATCTGACTCCAGATCAGTTTCTGAGCCCCTAATGTCCCAGCAGAGAGAGATGGGCTGTAACTCTCACCACCCCTCCTTCCAGAAGTCTTTACGCCAACTTAAAACAGGAAAATTACAATAAAACGAAACATGAAGGTCACCATTGACTCCCAAACAGAGAAGGTGCGCTTTATTACTCAAGAGGCTACTCTTAAATTTGGATTAGGACTAAAGAATGTTCTCCTGAACGTGATCCCCCCCCCCCCCCCCCCCTCGTACCGTTATTTTCACGCTTCAAAGAATTTCTTCCAACAGCTGCAGTCAAACTTTGACAGAACATCCCGTTATGTAACCGAACAGTCACAACTTCTACTTTTCTTTTGTTAGATTTAAAAAACCCTCTCCTTTTTTTCCAGCAAACGCGGAAGTGCTCCAGTTTTCTCCCGAAAAGCGGTCATTTTGTAAGAAATGTGGGGTTTTAGCAAATTTTTTTTAAAGACAAACACTTGAAGCTCCACCTCTCTCCTCCATTGATTTAACAACACTAAACCTCCGGTTTCTTTAGCATTTTGAACACGTCCCCCTCCCCAAACAGGTCAAAATCAACAGTTAGGTGTTTTAAAGCGAAACGTTCAAGGATTGTTGTGTACTCACCCCTCTTCCCATTGTTGCTAAGATTTAATTCTTCCCAGTTCCAAGTAGAATGCGGACAAACAGGACTCCTCTTTAAAAGTATGTACACTATTAGTCTAAAATTCTAATAAAATTAAAAGAAATAAAAACTCCTGGATGTGCGCGTTTAAATTTTTGCGTGATTTTTTTTTATTTATTTTTATTTTTTTATTTTCCCCCAGCACGTGTCACTTCTTCCTCGCACACATCCGAGCTCGCGAGCAGCCGCGGCTGAAGCAGCAATACTTATAGACGGCGTTTCTTCCATTGTGACGTCGACACCGTTCGCCATGGTAACCCCACGGAAAGGGGCGGAGCTTTCGCCATTATTGACCCCCTTTTCTCCCTTTTTAATTCACACACACACACACACACACACACACACACACACACACACACACACACACACACACACACACGCACGCACACACGCACACGCACGCACACACACTGTTAGAGATATTTAAAAATTTACAATTTTAAGTTGATAATCTTTATTTTGCACTGTAAAAAATCAACTTGTTGATTCAACCTCAAATTTAAGTGGAAAAACAGCTTTAGATGTTTGAATTACTTTATTTGAGGTTGATAATTATTTAAATTCATTTGAGAAATAGTTTGAACTGGCAAATAAGTTAAATATTAAATATTTAAACCTATAATTGCTTAAACAGATTTAACATCCTCTCCTAGAAAAGAACAATGGATTTTATGCTATTTAAAATCATTGAGGACAGTGAGGGTTTTGATATAATATAATTTTAAAAGAAGAAAGAAGAGGAAATATTTTTATTTTTATTTTAGCACCTCTTAAGATAAAAATCACAAGGTGCTTCACAAGAACAAAAAATAAAGGAATGGTTTGAAAATATGGAAATTATGTAAACATAAAAAGGGGTAAAATTGAAAAGAAAATGACACAAAGACAACAATGGTAATATTAAGATAATATTGATGCACTGTAAAAAATATTTACTTTTTAATAAAATGTCTCCATATTATATACATTAATTTATATAAATTTGGCTAAATAAAACAAATTTTTTCATTGAAATGAAGTTTGTTAACTGAGCTAAAATAACACTAAAGTTTTTAAATTAAACCTAAAAACAAAAGCAAACAAACAAAATTGATATTATAACAACTAATGTGTGCAATAGAAATCATGAAAAATAAAAAAAATAATAATTCTAACTGTAAAAAAGACTCAAATGCTATTACTAATTTTATTATGTTTCCTCAAATTCAAGATGCAAAGTCAAAGTTGTTTTGATATTTAACTAGATTATTTTATTGATTTACTAAGAAAAATGTTTGTTTACTTAAGAGAACAAGATAAGTGTGGTGTAATATGGCTCTTGTAACACCAAGGTTCATCATTCAGTGTAGTTGTCATGACACTTGAAGGCGATCTGAACCAGCAATGTGCTACTGCTGCTGATATGACAGCATGAATGAGCTGGCTGATGGACTGTCCTGATGAGGGGGTATTAATTTAGTTTAATTGTAATTTTGGAAATAATTTTATAGTTTTCGGAAAACTGTCCCTTTTAAAAGTTGAAACAGCAAAATATTTTATCTCAAGAAAACAAGCTTTATCTAAAGATGAGACAAATATAAAGCAGCTTAAGATAAGGTAGAAAAATATGTTCCTAGAAAGTATTTTCTTTGTTTCTGTAGAAATAATTTGTTAAAAGAAGTTTTTTTAATACATAAATCTATCCAAGACTGACCACCAGAACCAAACTGACATACATTGTTAGTTCAGCCCAGAATTAAATTAAGCAGTTATTTGAGATATTTTACAAAACAGTTCAAAATTTTCCAACAAATTCAACAAAAACATAGTCATATTGGCTGAAAAAACCCAGCTGGTGTCTTTTGAAGTATAATAACAATGAAATATTTTATGTGGGCATTTATTCACAAAAATGACTGGGATTTAACTTGGCTCTCTGCATAATAAATCCAAGAAAATTACCAGAATTTAAAGAGCAAGTCAAATCCTAACAGAGCCGAAAGTTATGCTTGGCGCATTTCTTTTCCGCTTGGTGATGCGGCTCGCGGATAGAACGCGCTTCACAACTTGCAGCATTTATGGTTCATGCGGCTTGTCTCTGCGGTGAGCCAATATTCTCCCAAACTGTAGGGGGCAGCATGGAGCTCTACGGCATGCATCCAACACTAAACCATAGTAGAAGTAAAAATTACTGTTGTTTACAACATGGCATTCCAGCATTTTTTAACAGCGTCCTCGTCTTTTCCGACAGTGCGAGCTATTTCTCTCCAAGAATTATGAACAACATGTTGATCACGGTGATCTCTGAGAGCTGAATCATACAAATGTCTGTATTTACGAACCTCTGCCATACTAGTTCTTGCCAGTCCGCCATGTTTTTCCACGTCCGACCGTCCGCGTGGTTAGAAAATTTCCTAGGTGCACAGTGCGGAAAGTTTGAGCCGTGCGGAGGCGCGGTGGAGGGGCGTGGTTGTTAAAATCAAGGGCGTCAGTTTGTTTTCAGAATTGCTGGGGACAATAGCCATACACTTGAGTGGGGCTTAAAAATTGCTGGGGACAATAAAGTAGGCTAGCACAGGGGTCGGCAACCCGCGACTCTGGAGCCGCATGCGGCTCTCGGTGCTTGTAAAATAATGAATGGATATTTAAATAAAATGCTTTATATTTTACTGCATTAATTTTACATCTGTATGCCAATTCTAAATGTAAAGATTGTCTGCGTAAACCTGAACAGGTCCAACCCGGTCTGTGAGACCGGGTTGAGCGTCACGCTTGTGCGTAATCATGCGCTTCTGAGCTGCTTTCCGACCTTCCCCACCTCGTCGTCGTCGTCTTCCTCCGCTTATCCGGGTCCGGGTCGCGGGGGCAGCATCCCAACTAGGGAGCTCCAGGCCGTCCTCTCCCCGGCCTTGTCCACCAGCTCCTCCGGCAGGACCCCAAGGCGTTCCCGGACCAGATTGGAGATGTAACTTCTCCAACGTGTCCTGGGTCGACCCGGGGGCCTTCTGCCGGCAGGACATGCCCGAAACACCTCCCCGGGGAGGCGTCCAGGAGGCATCCTGACCAGATGCCCAAACCACCTCAACTGGCTCCTTTCGATCCGGAGGAGCAGCGGTTCTACTCCGAGTCCCTCCCGAATGTCCGAGCTCCTCACCCTATCTCTAAGGCTGAGCCCGGCCACCCTACGGAGGAAACTCATTTCGGCCGCTTGTATCCGCGATCTCGTTCTTTCGGTCATTACCCAAAGCTCATGACCATAGGTGAGGATTGGGACGTAGATCGACCGGTAAATCGAGAGCCTGGCTTTCTGGCTCAGCTCCCTCTTCCCCACGACAGATCGGCTCAGCGTCCGCATCACTGCAGACGCCGAACCAATCCGCCTGTCGATCTCCCGATCCCTCCTACCCTCACTCGTGAACAAGACCCCGAGATACTTAAACTCCTCCACTTGAGGTAGGACCTCTCCCCCGACCCGGAGGTGGCAAGCCACCCTTTTCCGGTCGAGAACCATGGTCTCAGATTTGGAGGTGCTGATCCTCATCCCAGCCGCTTCACATTCGGCCGCGAACCTACCCAGCAAGAGCTGAAGGTCAGAGCTGGATGAAGCTAGGAGGACCACATCATCCGCAAAAAGCAGAGACGAGATTCTCCTGCCACCAAACTCGACACACTCCACACCACGGCTGCGTCTAGAAATTCTGTCCATAAAAGTGATGAACAGAACCGGTGACAAAGGGCAGCCCTGGCGGAGTCCAACCCTCACTGGGAACAGGTCCGACTTACTACCGGCTATGCGGACCAAACTCACGCTCCTCTTGTAAAGGGACTGAATGGCCCTTAACAGAAAGCCACCCACCCCATACTCCTGGAGCGTCCCCCACAGGGTGCCCCTGGGGACACGGTCATAAGCCTTCTCCAAATCCACAAAGCACATGTGGATTGGTTGGGCAAACTCCCATGCCCCCTCCATCACCCTTGCAAGGGTATAGAGCTGGTCCACAGTTCCACGGCCAGGACGAAAACCACATTGCTCCTCCTCTATCTGAGATTCAACTATCGATCGGACCCTCCTCTCCAGTACCTTGGCGTAGACCTTTCCAGGGAGGCTGAGGAGTGTGATCCCCCTATAGTTGGAACACACCCTCAGGTCACCCTTCTTAAAGATGGGGACCACCACCCCGGTCTGCCACTCCCTAGGAACTGCCCCCGATGACCACGCAATGTTGTAGAGACGTGTCAACCATGACAGCCCTACAACATCCATAGCCTTGAGATACCCAGGACGAACCTCATCCGCCCCCGGGGCTCCGCCGCTGTGTAGTTGTTTGACTACCTCAGCAACTTCTGCCCCCGAGATCGGACAGTCCATCCCCAGGCCTCCCAGCTCTGGTTCCTCCTCGGAATGCGCATTGGTGGGATTGAGGAGCTCCTCAAAGTATTCCTTCCACCGTCCGACTATAGCCTCAGTTGACGTCAGCAGCTCCCCATCCCCACTGTAAACAGTGTGAGCGAGTTGCTGCCTTCCTCTCCTGAGGCGCCGGACAGTTTGCCAGAACCTCTTTGGAGCCGATCGATAGTCTTTCTCCATGGCCTCACCAAACTCCTCCCACGCCCGAGATTTTGCCTCGGCAACTGCCACTGCTGCACCCCGCTTGGCTATCCGGTACCTGTCTGCTGCCTCCGGAGACCCACAGACCAGCCACGCCCTGTAGGCCTCCTTCTTCAGCCTGACGGCTCCCCGAACCTCTGGTGTCCACCAGCGGGTACGGGGGTTGCCACCACGACTGGCACCGGCCACCTTACGACCACAGCTAGCAACAGCCGCCTCGACAATCGCAGAGTGGAACAAGGCCCACTCGGACTCAATGTCCCCCACTGCTCTCGGGACGTGGTCAAAGCTCTGCCGGAGGTGGGAGTTGAAGACCGTCTTGACAGGTTCTTCTGCCAGGCGTTCCCAGCAGACCCTCACTATGCGTTTGGGTCTGCCAGGTCTACGCGGCATGTTCCCTTGCCATCTGATCCAACTCACCACCAGGTGGTGATCAGTTGACAGCTCCGCCCCTCTCTTCACTCGGGTGTCCAAAACATACGGCCGCAGGTCAGATGATACGACTACAAAATCTATCATCGACCTGTGACCTAGGCTGCCCTGGTACCAAGTGTACCGGTGGGCATCCTTATGTTCGAACATGGTGTTCGTTATGGCCAAACTGCGGCT